GCTTCATCCCTACTGTATCATCAGTCAATACTCCACTCATTTTTATGGCTGAGTAATATTCCACGGCATGGATAGACTATATTTTGTTTATCCAGCCACCATTTAATTGACAGTTGGGTTATTTCCACTTTTTGGCTATTATGAAGAATGCTATATAAGCATTCCTGTATAATTTTTGATGTGGACATATATTTTCAATTCTTCTGGGGACACACCTAGGAGTGAAATTGCTGAGTCCTGTGGTAACTCTATGTTTAACCTTTAAGGAACTGCCAGACTGTTTTCCAATGTGGCTGTACTACTCTGCCTTCTCACCAGCAGTGTATGAGGGTTCCAATTCCTTCACATCCTCAACACTACTTATTATCTGTCATTTTGATAGCCATATTAGTGAGTTTCAGCAAGAATTCCCAACGTACTGCCTACCCTCATCATTTCTTGTCTGACCTGAGGCAGAGGAGCCAGATAAGAGGGGACTGTAGCTATTCCTAGGGTATACTGAGAAGAAGGCCAGTGATTGGATTGATTTTGAAAAAAAAAAAAGGACTATTTGTTTTCTATATTTTTTAACCCAAATTCATTCTGAACCTTCAGTTTTGGGTTGATCAAAATAATCAGGTGACTAGACTACTTGAATAAACAATGTATGGTGGGCTGGGTGGAGCCAGCTCACCCCGAGTTTGAATCCTGGTTCTGTCTCTCTGGACTAGTTATTTCACTTTTCTGGGTCTGTTTGTCTCTTCTGTAAAATGAGGTACAATCACAATCAGATGAAATGTATGTAAAAGAATCTACACACTTCTAGTGCAGAATAGGTACACAGTAAATCTTCATTTATTTGTTCTTTGGTTCTTAGGAACCTGTTTTTGAAATCAATTTTTACTAAAATATCCTTTGATTTCAGCCCTTGGGCATTCCTTGTTGAGGTATGCTGGCTTTTCATGACAGATATCATAGACAAAGTGAACACTCAGGTGGCTTTTCTGGGAAGGTCATTTGATTGATTTTTTTAAAGGAAGGATATTAAAGCCCTACACATTTCAGTGTTTTTGAAGCTTCATAGTCTGAGACAAGCTGCGTACCTTAAGTTATTACTGTTGTCATGGCAAGTAGTGTTTGCTTTCCATAGCAACTGAAGCTACAGATAATTATACAAATGCTGGGAAAAAAATGGACAGAGAACAAAACCGTGTCTTGCTCATAGTCTTTGGGTAAAGATGTTTTCTAGTATAAAAGCAACTTAAGGTTCTGTGCTGTGGGGGCCAAGGGCAGGCTGCCCAAAATGTACTACAACGGTATACTGATTATTTTGAATTGGAGCTACTTGTGAAGCAACTGGTGCGAAGACACTCACACACTCCTCTGTCCCCCTGAAAGCAGGAAACACATTTCTCATATGAAAAATACCGTCCCTGTACTAGGAAGTAAGAAGACATCTTTACCAGACATAGGGACTTTTTGTGGGTGCAAAATACATGTGGGCATGATACGGTGGGTACAGCCAGGCTTTCTCACCTGGGCACAACTGATCTCTTGCTCTAAGATTCTAGACAATCCTTCCCAAAGGAAGGATTCCTTCCCAAGGAAGCCACTGGGCTTCATTGTCCTTAATTAGAAAATGAGGGGCTTGGGCCAAACCATCGATAAGGATCCACTTGGCTATGCCAGCATCACTAAGGCAAAACCCTCAGCAAGTTCCATGTTGCTACCCTACTCCCATCCTTGTGAGAGACCCTTAGGGGTTCGCTCACAGTCTGTAGGTTGGAGAGCATAGGTAATTTCAGTGTTCCAAACTTACTCCTGCTAAGTTGAGAATAGGAGCATAAAGGAATAGGCATTTAGGCCCTCTGGGAATGTATTTTAACAATTGGTTTTTCTTTTTAGTTAATTATCTCCCAGAAAAAAAAATTATCTTTTTTTCTGGGTTTCAATGCCAGACCATGTCTCTTCCACAGTTTGTTACATTAAAATTTTTAGTAAAAGCTATGGCAAGGTTCTAATTGTTGTGCAGTGAGGAGAGAAGAGCAGCCATAACGATCAGGGGCGGGTATTAGAGGCCTTGAGAATGGGAGCAGGTTTTCCTCAACAGCCAATAAGTGCTTGTGGCATGGAGCAGACAGCATTCCCACTGCAGGAATGGTGTGGCATGAACTTTTTTAGAGATCATGTTGGCTGCTGGGTGGAGAACAGTTTGGAGGGGACAAGACTGAGAGTGGGAAGGACTCGAGTGAGGAGTGCAGGCCAGGACTGATGGGGATGTGGACTAAAAGGGTGGAACCTTGCAGAATTCACTGGTTGTTTTTTTTTTTTTTTTTTTTTTTTTTTTTTTTTTTTTATAGTAGGCTTCATGTCCAGCACAGAGACCAATGTGAGGCTTGAACTCACAACACTCAGATCAAGATCTGAGCTGAGATCAAGAGTCAGTCGCTTAACTGACTGAGCCACTCAGGTGCCCCTCACTGATTTTTTTAAATTTTTTTTAATTCAAGATGGATTAAAATAGCACTGCTTAAATTCCCTTCATGTATTTATCATTGAATTTTCCCACAAGTAAAACAGATCATACCTCATTAAAGTATACCACAATATATTAGTAACATACCAGGAAAAATGGGGGACTTTTAATGGAAACTGAAATCACACATTGATCCATGTATTCCAGATGTAGTGAAATATTACATTTTTGCAAAATGGTATCTGACTGAACCAGAGATGAACAAAGGTGTGGGTGTTCTTATAAGCCAGGAGTGGCTTGATGTCGACTTTGTGCGAGTGTGTTCTCTTTTCCCTCAAGAGATGTAAAAATGGGATACTTATCTCCTTTGAGTATGAAGCAAACAACCAGCAGTTTGATGCCCACATAGAGATAAAACCTTACATCATTTGTTTTTTTGGTTTGTTTTGTTTTTGTCGTCCAAGGAATTCCTTTGGAAATTTCCATGGAATTTTGGGGGCTTGCTGTAGAGACTACTCATGGCTGTCCTTTCTTTGCAGAGGAATGCCTAGTCTCTGATACTGGCAGGTCCCCTGTGAGAAAAACCAGAGGTAAAGCAAAACCAGAAGAAACTCAGGTAGAAGTCTCCCAAATCCTGCATGCTGTGTTCCGAAGGGATGGACACCTGGAAGCCCTGCCCACCTTTGGTGAGTATTTAATTGTTCTTCCTGATGGTAATTATAGCCCCATTGACCAGGGCCTTCTTCTTGCCTGGCTCTGTGCCGGGCAAGTTGCATGCATCATCCCATCAAATCCTCCCTTCTATAGGAGCAGGTACTATTTATTACTGGTCCCATTGGTGAGAGGACACGGTGGCTTCAGAGAAGTTAATTACAGTCTCCAAGACTAGCCAGGATTTATACTTAAGCCCAAACTCTTCCTGCTTTGCTCTGCTGCTGCTAATCTTTCTGCTTTTGGGGGCAAGTCATGGTTGTTTCTGAGGAAGATTGGTTGATCATTATTAGGATTAATGCTTTTAATAATCCCTCTGTTTTGAATGTTGTCTTTGACAACTCAATACTAATTGTATAATCAAAGTTAATTAATGCTGATGATATGCTCTACAAATGACAAGTAATACATACCTACATGCTGTCCTTACCCCCTTGCATGTAATCTGGCACTAAAAGAATTGATTTGTTTTAGGATGAGAAGAACATGACAGTCGGAAGATGGGACTTGGCTCTTCTGCCCCTGATGCAACGTTGTGCTTTAGGATTTAGGGAATTGTTATGTAAATACCTACCTTACTAAACAACTTTCTGTTTTACCATTTCCTGGTTATTTCAGATGTCTTGCCAAGGTGAAGCTTTTAAGCTTCATAATTAGAGTTTGTGGTGCCTGAAGGCTGTACTGTAGCTACAAATCCAAATGGTCTATTTAAAATGCACTTTGGGAAGACTCATGATGTTTTAAAATGAGTCCCTCTTGAAAATGAGTTTAGGAGCTTCTTTCTAAACTCCGTAAAAGTTTAGGATTTTAACTTTTTTTTTTTTTTTAATGGAAGTATAGTGGACACACGATGCTATGTTAGTTTCAGGGGTACTAGAATTTTAACTTTAATTTTATAGTGGGGAAAGAATATATCCAAAGACTCCCCTCATAGTGATGCACTGCCCCAGCATTTATTGAGATATGATTGACAAATTTAAAAAAGACATATTTGAAGTGTACAACATGCTGTTTTGATATATTTTTACATCATACATATACATATATTTTATGCAATGATTGCGTAGTCAGTTTAGAAATCCAAAACGTTGCATTGGAGAGGGAAAGTTCTGGAGCCCTTTCTGTGGCATGTCCTTCTTGTTTTGAGGGACAAAGTTTGTCACTATTATGAAAAAAAGTTTAATATTAATGATGTGACATTAATATTTACTTTGTTCATCCCATACTGTATGCTGGATTAGAACTAAAGTTGGTTTTTAATCTTTCAACTAATTGAAGGTCTTTTTAACTTGTCATAAAATTGGCCAGCTTGAGAAAACAACATGTCATGTTAAATCTCCTTTCTCAATTCTGTGATGGGTGGCTGAGGGAAGTGGTGGAATTGCCTTCTCTGAGAATCTTTAAAACAGACTTGAGAAGTCCAATTGCATGGCGCAGGGCAACCCTGCAAAGCCCTGGTGGATGTCTCTGTGGGAAAGGCTGCCAGGAGGGCAGACTGGGAAGTATGAAAGAAAGCTGTCTTGCAGTTGGGATCATTGTCATGCTTAAAAAGATGACAAGTCAAGGAGAACGCCTACAGTTGTCCTCCCTTTCACCTCTGGGGCTCCAAGCATCACTGAAGCTGCCCCTGTTGAGTGGCATTGACCCGGCAGGACTTCATGCTCAGCTTGATACTCGACTTGCTCCTCAACCATGGATGAAATTTTGGTTCCCCTCAGGCTATAAGGGCCTTTTTGATTAGCAGGAGATCTGAGCTTCTTTAGCTCCACTATGGAGCCCAGATTGGACCCAAAAGACCCCCATCTCTGGGCTCCACAGACCTCAGCAGGTGCTGCTCACCAGTGCCCTATGCTGAAGCGGAACCTTGGCGGTCGGAAGCCAGGAGCCGAGCAGAAGGAGCTTCCTGCATCCCAGTTCCAGAGGCGTTCTACACAACCCCAATAGCTTAGGTCAAGGCGGAAATGCACCTTGCCCCTTTTTCCCCGCTAGGTACTCTGGGAGCATAGCCGGTTTAGGTGTTTCATCATGTGAGGAATCTGAGGCTGCTCTTCGTTGACCAACCCTCACGGCTTTCCGTGAGGACTGGAGGCCAAGGAGGAGCTTCCAGGCTCTCATCTGGCCCCTGCCAGCTCCTCCGCGCCCCTGGGCCCCGGGCACTGGCTCCTCAAAGTGGACGCCTCTGAGAGGGAAGAAGGTGAACGCAGGCTGGTGAGGGCTTCTGTGAAGTAACAGGCCTTGGGTGGCCCCCTGCCATTTTCTTATCACCGCAGGCTCGCTGCCATTTTCTCATCACCGCGGGTTCAGAAAGATGTCTTCTAGAACACCCTGGGAGGGATGCCTGGTTGGGAGGATGGTTGGGTGCACAGGTGGTTTGCTGGTGTTTTGAGGCCTCCATAGGGATACCATCGCAGGTAGCACTGCAGGAGGCACTCTTTGACTCTTCTTTGGAAAATTCTAGAAAGTTCCCAGTATCAGCCTAAACCTCAGAAACAGATTTGTGAGGAACGTGAGCAAGTAACAAAGCCAGAGGCTGTCCAAGGCACATTAGCACAATTGAGGGGAGAAGGAAAGCAAGAGATTTACCTGGCTTTAGTAGGCTGAGCAGCTGATGAACTGTGACACTGCAGACTTTTCCAAGTTTGAAGGCCATGTTGCAATAGTGGATTTTTAAAGGATCCACTTGAGGTATCATTTGGTTTTGTGTTTAAAAGATAAGGGGTTTGCATTAGGACTCATATCTGAGCCCATCCAGACTGAGCATAGAACTCTCAGCTACTCCAGAAAATCCATCTTTTAAGATGGAGTAATGCCAACGTAAAAGCCGAACCCCCTGTATGAATCTAAAAAGCTGTAGTATGTATAACTGAAGCCTAGATAAATATAAACAAATGCCCCTACAGCAATAAGTAAATAGGACCCCCCAAAGTAAATAAAGTAAACAGGAACAAATTAAAGTGAACAACTCAGGTTGAGGAGAAGCTTTTATGGTTGGCAGAACAACATGTGTTAAAATACTTTTATTGTGTTTAAATTGATGTTTCTGAAACTGTTCTGTCTTTGACAAATATAGCCAAATTGGGTGTGAGAGGGAAGGGAACTCTGGCAGTTTTGAATAATTTTTCTATCAATAAAAGGAAGAATAGCATGTTCTGCATTGCATTAGGGGTGGAGGCTGCTGTAGCTTTTAAGTCTCCTATGAATTAAGGAAATGGAATTTTTATTTAATAACCAACCAGATGAACTAAGTGTATTGCTAGAGAAACTCAAATGAATTATTTTATCAGTGGTCCCAAATTTTACTTTGTGACTGACACTTACTACCTTCATTCTATAAAGTCAAATTTTGCTTGTAAATAGTGGCACCGTTTATAACTCTGAAAGTAAAGCTACCATGAAGCCATGTGATAAGGGTTTGAAAGTAGAAATATCCAAAAGAAAAAAAGTGGCCATGAGATGTGATCAATTCTTAAATCAATTCTTTATATCCAATTCTAAAACATGAATGTGTAAATACCGTTGCACGTGGGAAGCACAGTTAATGCACCAAGTGACTCAGAGGTTTTGAGCAAACTAGAAGCTAGTTATTTTTAAGATTTCAAGGAATTTTGCTCTTTCCCAGGTGGAAACAAAACGTGAAAGATAAGAGAATAGATAGCTGTAAATCTGGCAAGGCCAGGAGAAAGAAATGAGGAAAAAAAGGACAGGGCAAGGTCTGTATGGTCCCTGCTGTTCCTCTGGGGGTATAGTCGTCAGTAGATTACTATTTTCTCTGACCCCACACATGAAGAAGGAATCTTAAAGCAAGAATAATGTTAATTATACTAATTAAGGGAATTTTGAATTATTATTTTTTGACTTATTTTTTTTAAGAAATAAGAGGATCAATTTTTTATATAGTGACTAACCCCTCAGAGAAGTATGTTTTTTCCTTTTCTAATTTAAAATGGCAGATGAGGAGCCCTGGAGTTCTCATTACTTGATACTGGGAAAACAGTGTGAGCAAGCAGGCCAGTGAATCATCCATGGCTCTGGCTTGGTTGGCTGAGGTCATTACATTTGTAACGGATTAAAATGCAGATAGTTCTTTATTTATATAGCTCAGTGGCTTGAAGTGTGGTTTGCTGTGACAGGGGACCTTGGGTGATGGGTGAGGCCATTACAGATGGTGGTGTTTGCAGGGAGGAACACTTGGGTTTTCTCATGTTGGCTGGTTATTTTACTACTAAATGGTTATCTTTTGGGTCCTTACCTTGTGAATGTTGTTATTTATATCAGCAAAATATATTTTTAAGCAGTTTTGAGAAAGGTTTTCATGTATGGTGTATCTCCATAGGTAAATAAAATAGTACGGTAATAAATTTCTCCTTGTTCTTCATAATGGAATGAACTCGTTTTGATCCTATGTATTCTCTCCTATTTTGAGGTTAGTTGCTTGACTCTGAATATCAGGGCAGAGGGTGATTCTCAGGCTGAAAGCCCATCCCAGGCGATGACAGAACTTCTTAACAGAGTCCTTCTCTTACCCAGAGCTGCACCTGTATAAGGGAGAAAATGTAATTTCTGGAGGAATTATAAATTCCTCCTGTTTTATAAAATTAAGCATTTAATTCTGCAGTCAAATAGGTAGCCAATTTATTTTACTCACTCCAAAAGGTATTCACAATGATCACATTCAGAAACAAATACTGCCAACTGAAGTGCTTGCTCTAAAAAATAAAATAGTCCAGTTGTATCTGAAGTACATAGCTTTGTTTTGCTTATTTCTCTGTATGTTCCAAAAGAAAGGGGAGCATTGAGGTGTGACTACACCAAGGCATCGAAAGGTGATTTTTTTCCATTAAACTCCAGGGAATAGCTGGAAAGCATTTGACTCATGACTTTGAACGTACGTGGACCAAAATGGCCAGATTGGAGAGTTTTGGGCTTAGTGATGAGAAGGCCTGGGTACCCCTGCCCCAACATCAGTCAGTCATTGCATAGAGAAAGCTATGCCTCTGAGTATGAGGAGCATGGCCTGGCACTTTTGGGGAGGGGATAGAATTGGACACTTCTATCTGCCAGGAGCAGGTATAGGATCTCCTCCCCCTCCCCCAACCAAGCCAGGACCATTGTGTGCAAATTGGTTTTCAAATCAATTCACAGGTACCCAGATTCTTGAATGATTAGAATGAATTGGACAAAAAAAAAATGCTCCTACTCCTCTTAAATTAACTGAAAGCTGTTTAGGTTAATGTAATTATGTTGTGGGGAAAGCACTTGGTTAATGGTGGTAAAACAAAAAAAAAATTGTGATAAAAGTACAGCTTAACTCTTCTGGTTTTAGCCTCCATTAAAATGTCATTCAACACGCTCACATTCTTGGAACTGGGAACTGGTGAAAAGCCGATGGAGTAAGACACAGGTACTGCTTTCAGAGATCCCATAGGCTAGTGGGGAGATTATATCACAAAGTGCTTGTATTATGCTTGAATATGTGACAGCATCCTTGGAACAAGAGAGGAGGGAGTGACTGACTTCCCCTGGGGGGCCAATTGGACCATAGCACATCTTTCTCAAAGAAGAGGATTTAGATTAGGCTTTGAAGGATGAATTCCATATCCTTAGAAAGAGAAGCAGAGGGAAGGGCATAGATGAACAAAATCAAGGAGGACTGAAGAAGCATGGTATTTTCCAAAGCAGGAGGTGGCCAAGTGAGGGTGGTTGTCCTGAAGCCATAGAAGGAGGGTTGGGGAACCACAATCAGGTGGGTCAGTTTGAAGAGTTGTCTTTCATTTCTTGGACAGTAGGGAACAATGACAGGATTTTAACAAAGAGTATGATTCTAGATACTGTGGGGTGACCTGATCAGGTGGAGGCTGATGGTGCAGGTGGCAAAAGAATTCACTCAAGGCAGAACAAAGGAGATAGCAGTTTAGTGAATACAGTGCAAGGGGGCAGCCGACAGGACAGCAAAGGAGAGATTATGTACCAGGAGGCAGTGGTGGGGGTCGTAGTGAAGGTGGGGAGGTGAGGAGATATGAGAAAGTATGGAGTTTTCCTTTTTTGGTACTTGTGCCTGGTTGTAAGTAGCCCATTAGTCAGCTAGGGCTTATGGGTATTTTGAGGTGGATCACCTGATGGGCCTGTTTGCATTCAGCCTAGTGGTCACCGAGGGCCCTTTTACCTTACTCCAGTTTCCATTGTTCAAGCCTGTTGCCTAAAAGTGACCTTTACAGATAGTACATCTGATTCAGAGATAGACCATCGGGACTTTCTGTGATGGATTGGATTTGGGTGAGGGTTATGCAGAGCAGGCTGCTAAGAATGACTACACAGCTTTCTGTCTTATATGACTAGTTCCACTTACTGAGATGGGGAGTGCCGAAGCACGAGCAGTTTGGGCAAATTTAGAACCTGAGTGTGAGGTATTATTGGTGGAACATCTAGGAAGCAAGCATCCAGGGTCCGAGCTCAAGGGAACCGTCTGGGCTGGAAATAAAGACCCAGAGTCATGGAGGTTTCCCTTTGGCAGAGGCTTCTGTGGACTATTGGCACCTCTTTATGGCTCTGGTGTGGGGAAATTGAGGCATGCCTTCCCACTCCAGCCATAAAAAGCTGCTCTGTCCCCTGTCATGCCCATGTAACTTATGCTGGATCTGAATGTTGATAAGAGCAAGCTATGTGTGACAAAGGTTCCCACTGGGTTTTCAAGGTGATGATCCCAAAACATCAGTCCCTTGAAAGACAAGAGTTAAATAGTTCTCAGGTTTTTTTAAATAGGGTATGTAAACTGCCTTTGAAGTAGGCCTCCCAGTTCACACTCTGCAGAGAAACTACCTTTTCCCTTTGTCCTTTATCAAGAGTGTAAGATCTCTATAAGGCTTTTCCCAAACACTGCATCAACATTAAATTGACTTACAAATGTTGTTTATGAGGAATAGAATATTGTTCTTATTATTTGATGTGCATTTGTGGAGTATGTGTCCTGACTTGAGTTTAGCTAATGTCAGACTAGGGAAGGATGCTTTGGAGGTTGATGAGTTTTTCTTCTGATTCTATTTCTCACAATTAAGCACACTGTTTAAGTAACAGGTTGTTCTTTGATTATAGAGTGTTCATGGCCACTAATAAATGTACCTCTGGGTACATAATAAGTTGTACCTCTGGGAGGACAGGGAGCTAAGGGTCAGCCTTTTATATGCTAATACCTGAGATAAAAGCACACTAGATATTACTCAAATCAAAC